GAGAGAGAGAGAGAGAGAGAGAGAGAGAGAGAAAGAGAGAGAATTACTATAGGAGCTGTGCGCTGCATAATATGTTCTTTGTATTATTGTACAGCGTATTGAGCACTTCTTTGTGGAAATGCGCTATAAATGCAATTTATTTTCTTTTAAATTATTAAGCTACAAGGCAGGGGGGGCTTTGGTAGGCCTTACAGCGCCTCTCGTCACTAAGATGGTCCCTTCTTTGAACATATGAGGTATATTGAAGCACCTATGCCACTATAGGGTTCTCTTGTACTCTCCACGATCATCTTCCATTTGGTTTACGAATGCTTAACAGCTAATATCCGTTTCTGGAGTCCTTTCCCCTATCCACCACCCAAAGAACGCCCTGAGTGCGGTATGAAGACCCAAAACTAGATTTCAGCACTTCCCAGTACATGTACATGATACATAAGTGTGTTTCACATTTTTTAATGGGACGGGGAGAAGGAAGAAAAGCGACTCACAAAGACGTAAGGCAGATAAAAAGAAATTGAAAAAAAAGGGATGAAGTGGAATAAAAACATAACACATAATGCAATATATAAATATTTCAAAGCAGTTTATTTGTGTCAACTTTTTTCAGCTAAACACAAGTCAATTTTAAAAAAATGTATCAGATAATAATATATGACCAGTACCATACAGAAAATAGTACTTTTCCCCGGCAACTAAACGCCAAAGTACATCTTAATAACTACGCCTACATGTGAGGGGTCTGTCCTAGAAATACGTTTCCCGGATCTACAGAAATTCTTGATTTTACAGAGCAGGGCAATTTGTGTTGGAATACACCTCATACTTAGCAAAAATACCACCCCAGAAGCTGACACAAGAAAATTCTGTTGCATGAAAGAAAAGACCAGTTATATTGGAGAAACAGTATAACAGTCAGTACGATTGTGAGCCTAATTAATAATCAATCACTTTTCTTTAAAAAAAAATTAAATTAAAAACAAAGCAATACAAAACAAACAACAACAACCCCCCCCCCAAAAAAAAAAAAAAAAAAAAAAAACACTTTAAAAACTTGACATTCATGTGTTAAGATTAGTTATTCACAGAAAATGAGAAAAGTAGCACAAATTACAAAGTCTGTGCAGAATACATTTTGATGTCCGACAAGCTTAAGCAATTGCACAGATAACAAATAGAACATTCTAGACTTCAAATCTTAAAACATGATCCCTCGCAAAGCTCTGACTGTAATGATCCTGTCTCATTTTTTAAAGAATGAACTACAAAATCGATGTTGATGATGAGACTTTATATTGCGTCAGTTATGGAAAGTAGGCTTAGCACCTTTGAACCGCCCCAGGGCTAGGCTCAACTACGGTAAGAAAGACCCTGTAGGAAAATTATTGTGAAATATACTAAAACACGAAGGGATATTTGATAAATTTCTATTGCAAAGTTTAAAGTTGCCCTCCCCTCCACTATTTAAAAAAAAAGAAAGAAAAAGTCATCCTAGGAATCATCTAAATGTGTTTGTGTGGCAAGGTTTGATTGCTAGATTGGGGGTTCCACTGGATAAGTGATTAATGAGTACAGACTCTAAAGTAATGTCAAGCAGTCAAGCTTTCAAGCAAGTGTCTGTGACACGGGGTTTAGGTGGATGGTCACTGGGATGTGTCCTTGAGCAAGACACGACAACCCACGCTAAAAAAATACAGGGCACTACACAGTAGCGACCAGCACTGGAACGATTGTGAAATTGATCTGTGTATTGTTGTAATATTGTGTATTTATGTATGTAGTTTATGTATGTACGCATTCATGTATGTATTAGTATTTGTGTATGAATGTTTTACTTTGTTATCCAAATTTTCCCACGGTGAAGAATAAAATGTAATGATTAATTCATTTATATATTTATTGGTTTATTGATTTACTGTTTGATTGATTAAATCGATCCAACCGATCAAAATCTCCAGTACATTTGTATCTTTAATGCAATTCACAGTGAAGTAGATGAACTCACACAATACCAACTGGTAGAACCAACTCGACCGTACATGTACATGGTGTGAGAGGTCATTTAATCATCGTAATATACACGCACCTCTTGTTCCAAGCGCATCAAAAGCAGTTGTGAAAAGTGGATTTCTCAGAGTGTTAGGTTCTAAATGTTGGCTGCCATTCATGTGGTATATCTTTTATTATTCATAGTATTAGTGTTGCTAGTATGATTTTTCATTTAAAAGTCAACTGATTCCAAATGATAAATCTGGACTGGCTGATGCCCTTAGCTGATTCTTGAATGAAATATGTTGACCCATTACTTGACAAAGAACTTTTTTCAAACTAATACATGCTTTTAAAAGACAAACCAAAAATGTTTTATTCAGCAAGTTTGTTCAAAGTTTGAATAAAAAGTTGTTCACTTTTTTCTTTCTCAACAACCACTAGAAATCAGAGTTGCTTCAGTTTGTAGATCAGCAAACAAAACCAGAGAGCATGAGCACAATGCCCTTCTATGATTGTCAAATACTATGCATCCACAACAGTGTTCAATACAGATTCCGCGTGCTAAGGTAAGAGGGCAAGTAAGCACCTGAACACCACATTCACCCTCCAACATGGATGCAAAGATAGATTGTACAAAATGTGAGGTCCATTTTGAAAGACCGTCGTTTCCTAAAACTTTTCTGTTTCTGTGACATCACAACAGTTTTCTGCCAAGTTCAAAAGACTTTTTGATAAAGTTCAGGATGCGATCCAAATCTCCTTGGGTCGGCGTGCGAGTTTTACTGTGAAAAAAATCGAAAGCAAAATGATGGTTAGACGTTTAGATACACACACACACACACACACACACACACACACACACAGAAAAACCAACCAACAAACAAGAAAATGATAGAATAATTTGGAACTGCATTAAAGATATACATGTATTATATACCTACTTACCCCCGAAAAACTTTTACCCACATGAAAGTCTATAACTCTCCCCCAAAGTGCACAATTCATACAAAAATTGATAGGAAGCATAATGATGATGATGATGATGATGATGATGATGATGATGATGATGATGATGATGATGATGATGATGATGATGATGATGATGATGAAAGT